TATGTCTCCTATCCCCACTTGATTTTTCTGTATAGCATTTACTATCTGTTTTCTTGTGTGTTATCTTGTTCTGGCTAGAATGCAAGCAGAGATTTTTATCTGTTTATCTCCACGGATGCCACAGCCCCTTAGTTGGCATGCAATAAACACTGGCTGAATGGATGAGCCTGTGCACCACCTATAATTATTTTCTCTAAATTGTGTAATTTTGTTACTGAAATATCCACGTTAGCCTCTCCCTCAGCAATCATATACCAGACCACAGGTTCCACACTGGGAACTTACATAACCACTGAGATGTTAGCCATCTGGGGACCCTGAGATTCTTTGCCACCACTGGAGACGGGAGGGCACCCTCTTCGGGGTGCATACATCAGCCCCATCCACCTCTAAGCAGATGGACAAACAAGTCCAAAGACGCTCAGCCCAATGCCAGTCACATTAGAGCCAAACGTCCTGATGTTCAATCTTTTTTCCAAAAATTTTTTATTACCTTTATTTTTTAATTATTATCTTCAAGGAGTTGTACAATGGGGTTTCAATTCAATTATTGAATATATCTCAATCAACATCACCTTGTCCATCCTTCTCCCCCATCTCTCCCAACTCCACGCATCCCTTCAAGTCACCTGATTCCATTTTCACATAGGCACATGGACACATAAGTGTTCTCCCACTCTTCCTCTCTCCCTTCCTCTGCCTCCCTCTGCTGGAGCTCCCCAGGCCCCACCCCTGGCAGTGTTGTGGTTTAAGGGAAATGGGGAGGCCAGGGCTAGTAGGTTCAGCTTCCCCTCTGGCAGGAGACTCCTCCTGTTGGTGGGGCCAGCCCTACCTGGTGATTGCAGAATGGCAATGCAGAAAGTAGACACCCTCCAGCACCCTTCAGCCTTGATGCTCTCTGGGCTTCACAGCCAGTAGGATGCTCCTTCCTTCCCTCCCTAAGTCTTGAATCTGGGCTGTGCCTCTAGGGGTTTGGGTCAAACTCTGTAACAACACATGGACTAGAGGTTGAGGATGGGGGTTCCAGTGCAGACTGGATATGCTATGCAGATAGAGAGGGGAATGGAGTTGGAGTGTGCTTGATGGTTGACAGAAGTTTGAGGCACAGGAAATACTGGTGAAGAGAGGAAGAGAAGGAAAGAGACACAGGGATTCTGTCTTATAAATCAGAGTCAAGACTGAAGTATCCTAGCCCTTGTGGCTCATGCCTGTAATCTTAGCTATTCAGGAGGCTGAGAGCTGAGGATTGCAGTTTGGAGCCAGCCCTTGCAGACAAATTTGAAAGGCTTATCTCCACTTAACCAGAAAAAAGCCAGAAGTGGAGATGTGGCTCAAGTGGCCTTGACCAAAAAGCCCAAGTGAGAGCATGTAGCCCTGAGTTCAAGCCCCAGTACCGATGCACACACATACGCAGACACACACGGCTAAAGTGTGCACAGTGTTTCATACTTTATACTCATTCTGTAGCCTGCTCGCTCAACAGACACCTATTTTACTGACAAGGAAGCTGAAACTCAGAGAGAGGAAGTGATTCACTAAAAGGGTGGATGGATGCCCTCCTTGGGGGAGACAGGCAGAGAGCAGGATGTCCAGGTGGGTTTGGGAAGGAAAAGAGCTTCAGGATGGGGGAGGGGGGAGGGGTGTGGAGTAGGGGGTTGGAGCAGGAGGAGAAGTGGATATGAGAGTAGGAGGCAGATGCTAGAAACTTGCAGGCTATTGACTGACCAAATATCTTGGTCAAGCCCATTTCTTTCTGGGCCTCAGTTTCCTCACCTGTAAAATGGAGGTAAGGGCACTCCTATGTCCCACCTTGGAGGATCAAAATATTTTTTAAAAATGATAATACTGGGCTGTATTGGTGGCTCACACCTTTTCACCCAGATACTCAGGAGGCAGAGACCAAGAAGACAGTTTCAAGGCCAGCCAGCCCAGGCAGGAAGTTGGTGAGACCCTCATCTCAACAAATACGCCAGGCGTGGTCAAATGCATCTGTCAGGTCAGTTACTGCCATCACAGAGGCTGATTCAGGCAAAAACAAGAGACCCTGCCAGAAAAATAAAGCAAAACTGGGCTTACAGGCATGGCTCAAGTGATAGAGCCTCTGTTAACAATTGTGAGGCCCTGAGTTTAAACACTAGTAATAATAATAACAATAACAATAATAATAGGAGAACTTTGAACCTCCTCTACTGAGCTAGCCCAATGTGAACATGAAAACCTCTGACAAATTTGCCATAGTGACTGCTTGCTGCAGCCACTACAGGGAGATTCCAGCACCTTCTCTGTCAGTTAACCCTTGAAGCCCTAGAGGGTCTCCCGTGCCCCTGGGAGGAGCAGCAGCAGCTCACAGACCTGCTGGTGATGGTGGTGGTTGCAGGAAGGGCTGCAGCCTGCCCGGGACATCATTATCATTCCTCTTGCATTTTTTTCCTCCTGGGTTATTTATTTTTCTGTGGGGAAAGAATGCAGGGAATTTACCACGGGGCTGGCCACCAGACAGCAGCTTCTTCTTTATGAAAGAAGCAGTAGACAGATGGCAGGAAAGGCAGAGGGGCAGGAGGGGCCTCCTGGCTGGCCACGGGACCAGGGCAGTGGCCATTTCATGTAACCAGCCAGAGCCCTAGGGCAGAGCCTGCGGTGCAGGGCACAGCCTGGTTCCTTGACCGTGAACCTTGTGAAGTCTGTGCACTTGGGGAACCGAGCCTGGCTCCCCCATGGGGCTTCTGCATGAGCCCCATGGGTGTATTCCTGTCAGAGGTTTCTTTCATCTCTCCTAGGGCGGTGAGGTTAGGCTAGGGGAATGGAACAGGATTACCCCATGCCTTGGAGCATTTGTGAGCTGTCCTCATTCCTTGGAATGCCTCCTCATTTCTACCTTTCATGACCTAGGGCAAAGACCATCCTCTCCAGGAAGCCTTCCTGATTGCTTCATCGTCATTTATTTCTCTTTCAGCTTCTAAGTGCCATGAATGACACTTCACAGAACATTCTACCTCTCTGTTAAGTTTCATCTCCCTCTCCACCCACAGACTTGCTGTTCCCTCCTCAATCTCCCACTTCCTCTGGGAACCACGCTCGAAATTTCTGATATAGAATCTATTGATGGGAGATCTACTAGTGAACAGGCAGGAGGGATGCTTTGGTTGCAGAGTTCTGGCTAGGACTCCTAATCGAGTCCTGGCCAGGGAGCAGTGGGAAACATGGTGATGGCCTGCACAGATAGCTGCCAGTCAAAGCCCTATGTTACTTCCCTCTTTGCCCCACCTCTGCCTTACCCAACACAATCTTCTGCCAGTATGGGGAATTCAGAAGTTTGACCAGACCTGGCCTTCATTGCTAGCTCTTTTGAGACCCACTCCATCCTGAGGCCTCTGGGCCAGGTGGAGCCAGAGAGGAGCACTGATCAAGGAGTCTGGATTAGTTTCTTTTTTTTTTTATTGTGAAAATACTGTACAGAGGGGTTACAATTACATGGGCAAGATAATGAGTACATTTCTTATCAAGCATTGTAGCCTCCTCCTTTGTTTCCCCTTCCCATCCCTTCCCATCCTCCCCCCGCTCCCTCCCTCACCCTTGGATAAATTTATGAGGGCTTCCTGGAAGAGATGACAGTTGGGTTGGATCTAGAATGGTAGGGGTGAAAAGTGAGTGGAGCCTTCTAGAAGGAAAAGTACTCCAGGTTTGGTATCTGTGAGACTGCCTCACTCCATCTTTCTCTGCTCTTTACCAACTTTGGGACCTGGGATGAAAGCTGTTGTCATGGCTCATTTTCCCCTCTCTAAAATGGCCATCAGAGAACTTCCTCTGTGATTTTCTGGGAGATTAGAAGAAAGATGTATGAGCTCTTTATTGCAACATCCGGTATGCCCAAGCCACTGGCTATTGTCAGATTCCTGGAGGACGTGCGGAGGGAGACGTCACTAAACAGCCCTGCTGTCAAGGCTCTTGCTATGGGGGAGTGGCTTATAGAAGATCTAGACCCTGATTCCCATGAAGTAACACATTGGGGGTCGGCAGCAGGGTCATGGGGCAGGCCCTGAGTCCATCTGGGCCATACTAGATATGAATCCCATCTCTGCCTCCGATTGGCTGTGTGACCTTGTCTCTTTGCAACTCTGAGCCAGTTTCCTCTCTAGTGTGGAGATGGGTGGGCAGCTGGCCTCCTCGTGTGGTCAGCTGACATGTGCTAAGCCCTTCCTGAAGGGTCACTTTTATTAGAATGAATACTGTATTGAGTGATGCAGATAGAACACTGGTGGTCCAAGGCAGGTTTCTTTTTTATTTGGGGATGGGCAGGAGGGGATACTGGGGTTTAAACTCATGGTCTCACACTTGTTAGGTAGTCACCCACTTGAGGCACATTCCCCAGTGCTTTTTGTTTTATTTTTCCAGATAGAATCTTAACAACTTTTCCCAGGCCAGCATTGGACTCCTACTTCTGTAATCCCAAGTAGCTAGGATGCCAGGTGTGCAGTCCCATATCCCACAGCTTTTTGGACAGCTTTTTGGAGGAGAGTATATCATTCAAGCTAGGTGGGAAGTTAGGGGATGAGAAATGCAGAAAGAATAGACACAGAGACGCTTGGTGGAGAGGTCTGCACAGATAAACCAGGCTCCAGGCTGGAACTCACCAGGCAGCAAACAGTAGACCACTGGACCGTGGATCACTGAACTTCTCCAGCACTGCCAGGATCACAGGGGCTTGTGGAGCCTCGGGTGGGTCCAGATGTTGGAGGCTCTGAGTGCTAGAATGAGGCGAACTCTACTCCATCCTTAGGTCCAGAATCTTGAGCAGCAGAGAAACAGGAGTGGAACTGGGAGGGAGGCTGGTGGATCTGGCTGCGTGGGGTGGGTTGATTGGCGGGGGAGAGACTGGGGGTGGAGAGGCCATTTAAAAAGCTGTTGCAAAATCGGTTTTCCTGATAAAGAGCTCGGCTGAGTCATCTGTGGAGGAGAGAAGTCATATCCAGCTCCGAGCGCTCGCTGTCGAGGTGGGACTTTCCTCCGTTGTCAGCCAGGCACTTGGCTGCTTTTCTCCTGAGGCTCTGGGAGCTGAGGCTGAAGCCTCAGCTGGCGGTGGGAGCAGCCGGGTGGGCTGCAGGGAGACACGGCGAGTGGAGTGAGTAAGGTGTCTGCGGGGTTTGGGGGGCTGGAGGGACTCGGGGCACTTCGGATCCCCTTTCTGCAGAGTCTTTCCTGTGGGCATTAAAGGGAAAGGCAGATGGTGACTTCTGTTAGTGGTAGGCTAGAGCTTGACCTGGGGTTCCCCACCCTCGTGTACCCCTAGTCCCTGACTTCCCACCTCTGCGTGGATTGTTCTGCAGAGAGAAGATGCTGTAGTCTGTGCGCCTCAGACACTCAGGCTGTGCCCACCGGACTCCCCAGGGCTGTGTGTGTGTGTGTGTGTGTGTGTGTGTGTGTGTGTGTGTGTGTGTGTGTGATGCAAGCAGGGCTGTCAAGGTAGCCAGGCCATTACTCAGGTTTCCCATCTTCCAGTCCCAGCAAGGCCAGAGGTTGTGCAGAGGCCAGGCCTTGGTTCCTTCCTGCCCACCAGGGGGGCAGTTTACCCAGGCTGTTGATCCATCCTGTTGCCAGGACTCTGGCCATCCACAACGGGCTGTCTCTGGCTCCCCACTCCACCAGGACTTGCCCATTGACGGCAGCCCTGTGAAGAAGCATTTCCTTGCATTCACCCTGTCCCGACCTTCTGCTGCCTCCATTCCCCAGACCCACCTCCTTCTTTGGGGCTCTTGATGCAGACCTGCCTCTTCATGGGCAGAAGAGGCAGTTGCCTACAAGGGTGGTAGGGATGGGGAAGAGGGCTGTCCTTGCCCTAGGGGAGGGAAAATGAGAACAGAGGATCTCCTAACCCCCAATTTCATCATCTTTTTACTCCACTGGTCTTTCATGCCCTATTAGCCATTTCAACCTTAGTAAGAATGAGTTCATCAGCTCTTGATCTGAGAGGAGGAAAGGAGAGCAAGCATGAGTTGTTGGAGGCAGCTGAGGGAACTGTCATGGGCTGAGGAAGGAGAGCCATCATCTGGGAACTCTGGAGTCTCTTGATATCCTACCCTCAGGATCCCTAGTCTAGAAATTTTGAATCCCAGCCCTTCTCCTTACAGACAGAGGTATGTCTGAGCCTGGGTTTCATCTAGGAAACAAGAGAATTCATGGTGTTCTCAGGGGAGCGGGGAGGGAAGGAGGGTGAGCAAGGTTCTGAGCATACCATGCACAGCTCAGCACCTAGGCTATGTGTGTGAGCACCTGGCAGGGCAGCAGCTTTTGCAGCCCTCCCTTAGGCACAGCTGTCCACACTCTCTCCCCACCCATCCTCTGCCCTGCACCACTCAAGTATCCTTACCCCAGGCAGTGAGTTTTTCCTTGTGTTTACTCTCCCCTCCTCCTTCTAGTGGAGGCCTGTCTTCAGGGCTCCGGATCAAATATCCAGGGTGAGTCTCTAAAGGGCTGGCATCACCCTGGCTCTGCAAAGGTTTAGCTAGACATTGGTGGGTGGGGGGGGGGTGTGTCCTGATCTGCACAGGTGCAGGCCACAGCCAGCACATGGAGGGCTTGAGACCCACCTGTCCCTGTGGCTCTTAGGCACCAAGAAGCAGTTTCACAGCAGCAGCCCTTGTCTGAGATGTCAGCACCTGGATCTGGGGAATGTTCAATGGGGCTGCCCTCTGGGGCCTGTGACGGGATGCTGGGGTGCCTCTGGCAGGCCTTAGCCTCCCTTCCCCCAGATTTGTTTGCGCAGGGTGGCAGAACCCATCGGAACTGTTGCCTGGGTCTGGTCCAAAACTCCTGCCAAATTCCTTTCCTGTGGCGTCACCACAGGCTGGAATGGGGGAGGAGAACTCACCCCTACCCTCTTCTGTCCTAATATTCCCAAGGCAGAACTGGGGAGGGGGCCGCTCCAAGTTCAGGGAGGCGGGAGCATTGTCCACGCCATCCTGGCTGGAGTGGAGCCAGGCTGGCGGTCAGCAGACCTAGGTCCTGGCCGCTCCCCTGACCTTTCCTCTCTGAGCCCCAGGCTGGCTTTTCTGTAAGGGCCCTTCACAGTGGCATTTGAGGGTTTTCTGAACCCATGGCCTTTCAGTCAACATGGGGATGAGACTGAGGCAGGAACGCAAGGAGAAAAGTGGCAACACACAGAGAGTTTAGAGTTCTGGAAGATTCAAACACTATAAGGATTTTTCCATGAGCCTCAGGCTATGGGAACCCGCCAGCCAGGAGCCTGGCGCCCTCTGCAGGGCCGAGGAGCCAGGTATGATTCTTGCTTCCCTCACTCCCTTGAAGCTCTGTGGTGTTGGGAGCCCACCTTCCCTCTCTGGTCCTTGATTTTCTCATCACTAATACTTTTGTGCCTTTATGGAGTTGTGGGATTAAGCAATAAGTGTAAAGTGTAAGTATAGGTGTGCACCAAGTACCCACTGAATGTTAGCTACAATTGACCCAATTGTGTCCTCCCATCTGAAACATTGTTGGGACTTGGTTATTCTCCTGGATGTGATTTCTATCTGGGAATCTTGGCAGAGTTGTAAGACTAGAAGGGGAGACTCGTTCTGTGTGACACTCAGAGTAGAATCACATCAAGAAGTGGAAGCTTGTGCTGGGAAGGTGGCTCAGTGGTAGAGTGCTTGCCTTGCATGCATGATGCCCTGGGTTCGATTCCTCAGCACCACATAAGCAGGGGGGGAAAAAGCCTGAAGTGGTGCTGTGGCTCAAGTGGTAGAGCGCTAGCCTTGAGCTGAAGAGCTGAGGGACAGTGCCCAGGCCCAGAGTTCAGGCCCCATGACCGGACCCCCCTCCCCCCCCCCCCAAAAAAAAAGAGAAGTGGAAGCTGAAGGTGGAGGTATGGCTAAAGTTGTAGAGCACCATCTTCTTCAGTTCAAGTGAGAATTCAAGGCCCTGAGTTCAAGTCCCAATTCTGGCACACACACACACAGAGGAAAGTGGAAGGTAATGAATGGTCAGAGGACCTTGTAGCAAGGAATGAATGTTAGTGGGAAGTAGTAAGATCATGTTTTGTGAGTGTGCAAACAGAGGCTTGCACAGGCCTGTGGTTTCATAGGATGGAAGAAGGGAGGGGAAAATTGGGCCCAGTGATGGCTACCTCTAAGATTCTGAGTTTCTGTGCTCTAGCCATGCTTCCCCATAACTTTGGGATCCCCTGCTAGGTGGCTTCCTGGACCAGGACCTATGCTGCAAGTCTTTGCTAGCTTTGATTCCTTCCAGAGAGCACAGTGGGGTCACCGACCACCAGCTCTTCCTAGGGTCACCTGAGCCCCCTGCTTTGTCCTCTGGGCTTGATGCCAATGAGCCCCTGGCAGGCAGTGTCCTGGGCACCAAGGGCTCCCCCACTTCTCATCTTGAGACCTGATGGCTCTGGGAGGTGGGGAAGTGTGCCAGGGTCACACAGCTTGGATTCAAGACAGGAGAACTCATTTGAAGCAGAGTAGAAAAGAGCACTATGGGGGCTGAGAGCCCCTCAGGAGCAGCCTGGCCAACCCCCCCCCCCCCACCTCTATCTCTCTGTTTCTGTCTCTCTCTTTTACATGAAGTGCCCTGGTAAGGAGAGGAGTGCTACCAGGTAGCCACAGGTGTCATGGGTGGGTGAGGCCAGTTATATGCTGTCACTGTTTCCAGCCTGGGAGGTAAACCAGGCCCTGGGGAGGGAGGGAGAGAGAAAGGGAAAGAGGGAGGGAGGGAAGAAGGGAGGGAGGAAGTTGGAGCTAGAAAGCCTGTCATTTTGTGGCCTGGACCCAGCCACTGACTAAGCTTGTGACTCCTGCCACAGGCTGATTCCTCCAGCCACCAATCAGTTCACTCCTTAATGCAGCCCTTTTTTCAGTCATTGTTCAACAAGCACAATTTGAGCACTGACGGTGTACTAGCTAGGCACACTGCCTGGAAGGAGCAATGGCTGCCCTCAGGGAACCTGACTTCAGGATCCCTGACTTCAAGGTCCAGATTGAACTCAGAGCACCCCCAAACTGTTTCCCACTCCTGCTTCCCAAAAGGGCCTTGAGCTGGGGCTGAGAATTGATTCTAGTCCTTCTCTGTGTGACCTTGGGACACATAGTGTCTGGGCTTGTCAGCAAAAGTTGTCCCTTCTGCCAAACAGAGACTTGTGACGCTCACTGCTGCTCGTATGAGCATTCAGGGAAAGGACACAGTGTTCCAGTGTAGTCAGTGCTGAAATTAGCCCAACCTAGTACTTTCAAATGTGGAAACGTGTGAATTTTAACAAGATTATTTCCCTGAAAATGGCAAGAACTTCGGTGCTGCAACTTCAGACGTCAGGGTGGGAGGGACATTTTTCACTTAACACCTTTTCTTATGTTTATATCTATGTTTATAAATAAAAGTGGATATATTGCCCATTCTAAGAAGAAGGGTGTTGAGAGCTCTCTATTAAAAAAATCAAATTAAATTACTATTCTGTGAGTTTAGAAGTACAAAGGACCCTAAGAAAGGCTCAGAGAAAATGTTCTGGGGGTTCGTTTACACATTCAGCAATCTTCATCATGTCCACTATAGGCCAGCCACTATTTTCTCATGTCTGGATATATATATATATATAATTTAAGGCATAATTTACTGCACAACATAGATACACATGCCAAGCCAGGTGAACAGATCAATAATCCATGATACATCAGAAGATGTATCATTACATCTTACCTTTAGAGAGGTAAGATTGAAGCTGCACAGCAAGAGGAAACCAACCTGGAATGCCATCTGGGAAAAGATGTTTTCATGGTGAGGGAATAGTACAAAGGTCCTGGGGCAGGGCCATACTTGGCATTTTCAAAGAATAGCGAGAACGCTAGTGTGGCAGAGCCTAGCAAGAGAAGAGAAGGCTGAAGGCAGCTGAGTGAGAGATGTAATGGGGGCCTGAAGTTTTAAGGTGAGGGGCTCGGCTTGGTGATGTTCCATATCTGCATCTACTAGGTGTCACAGTGACTGTCCCTGCCCCATCCCCGTGTGCTAACCTGCCCTCTGTCCCTTCCCGCAGCGTTGAGCCGGAGCACTAACGTCACCGAGCAGGATCTGAAAGAAGCCAAAGTTCGGAGCCAGCGGATCGCGGCCCAGCTGACCACCCCGCCCAGCGCCAGCTCCCGCGGGGTCCAGCTCTTCCACAGGCGCAGGCAAAGGGCGAACGAGTTCACCTTGGAAAGCCGAGGCCAGGGCCGCCGGAAGCCCGGCCAGGAGCCCCTCGGGGTGCGCTGCGCCAGCCCCACGGGCAATGCCCAGGGGCTGGACCTGAGTCCCACCTCCCCCCAGGAGCAAGGCCCCGGCCCCCAGAGCCTCCCCCGCGGGCGTCCGGGCCGCAGCATGGAGGGGTACACCGCCGCCGAGGAGGACAGTCTACTGCGGCATCTGGAGAAGGTAGCCAGTGAGGAGGAAGAGGTGCCGCTGGTGGTTTACTTAAAGGAAAATGCAGCCCTGCTGACAGCTAACGGGCTCCACCTGTCCCAGAGCCGCGAGGCCCAGCCGGCGCCGCCCAGCCCTCCGCCTGCCCACGACGCGCACGATCCTCCTCCGGATGGAGCTGTGGATCTCAACCAGAATCTTCCCGCACCCGACGCCCCGCTCACCACCCCGGCCTCCAATTGCGCAGCTGCCGAGGACGCCAATCAGAACCCCCCGGCCGAGGCCGCCCCGCAGGGCCGGCCGCAGAGCTCTCCCGAGGCCCAGCGCCCGCAGAACGGCACAGCGCCCGACGCCAGCCCCAGCGCCCTCCGCTCGGACGGGCAGCCCCAGGCCCCGACGGAGGTGAGGGCCAGCGTGCTCCTTGTCGATAAGGTGTCCACTCCACCCGCGGCCGCCAACACCTGTTCCCGAGGAGCCTCCGCCATCCCCAGCTCCGGGCCCGCCGTCCCAGACTTCATGTCCAGCTCGCTGCTCGTCGATGTCCATCCGTCAGCAGAACCGGAGCTGTCGGGGCGGCCGGCGGCCACCACCCCCACCAAGGTGTCCAGCGAGGTCCACCTCACCCTCGCCAGGCCCCAGCCCGTGGTGAACAGGACGGCCAGGCCTTTTGGCATCCAGGCCTCCGGGGGCAGCGGCCAGATGGAGCGGAGCCCCATGGTGGAGAGGCGACGCCTTGGGGAGAAGACCCCGGCCCCCCAGGCCTCCAGCGTGGCAGACCGGAGTCCCCGGCCGCAGAGACACGCCATGTCCCACAGCCCCATGGTGGAGAGGAGGCTGGTCGGGCAGCGGAGCCCGGTCCTGGAGCGGGGGCCCCTGGGGAGCTTCGCCCCACCTCCCACCTACGCCGAGACCTTGTCGGCTGCCCCCCTGGCTTCCCGGGTTAGGTCTCCCCCCTCTTACTCTGCCCTGTACCCCAGTTCTGACCCCAGGCCCTCTCGTCCGAAGGGCCAGGCAGTGCCCTCCAGCAAGACGGGCATCTTGGAGGAGTCCATGGCGCGCAGGGGTAGCCGGAAGTCCATGTTTACCTTTGTGGAGAAGCCCAAGGTGACCCCGAACCCCGACCTGCTGGACCTGGTGCAGACGGCGGATGAGAAGCGGAGGCAGAGGGACCAGGGCGAGGCGGGCACCGAGGAGGAGCCCTTTGCCCTGGGGGCCGAGGCCTCCAACTTCCAGCAGGAGGCCGCGCGGGACAGGGCCAGCCCCGCCGCTGAGGACGCGGTCCCCGAGTGGGCCTCCTGCCTGAAGTCACCCCGCATCCAGGCCAAGCCGAAGCCCAAACCCACCCAGAGCCTGCCCGAGGCCTCGGGGAGGGGCGCCGAGCTGTACGCGCGCCGCCAGTCGCGCATGGAGAAGTACGTCATCGAGTCTTCGGGCCCCGCGGAGCTGGCCCGCTGCCCGTCGCCCACCATGTCCCTGCCCTCCTCCTGGAAGTACGCCAGCAGCGCGCCCGGGGCCTTCCGCGTGGCGTCCCTGAGCCCCGCGCGCACCCCGCCGGCCTCCCTCTACCACGGCTACCTGCCCGAGAACGGCGTGCTGCGCCCTGAGCCCGCCAGGCAGCCCTGCCACGCGCGGCCTTCGCTCTTCGCCCTCTCCCCCGTCAAGGAGCCCGCCAAGACCTTGGTCTCGCCCCGCTCGGCCTCCACCCGAGCGGCCTCGTCTCGCGCCGCCTCCCCTGCCAAGCCCAGTTCCCTGGACCTGGTGCCCAGCCTGCCCCGAGCAGGCCTTCCGCCTTCGCCCGCCCTGGCCCGGCCCTCGCGCTGCGCGCCGGGCCTCTACGCCTCCCCGGGCCAGGATGGCCTCCAGCCCTCGGCCGTGAGCCCCACCTACGGCAGTGACGTCTCCCCCGTGTCTCCCTCCAGGGCGTGGTCTCCTAGAGCCAAGCAGGCCCCCCGGCCCTCCTTCTCCACCCGGAACGCGGGGATCGAAGCTCAGGTGTGGAAGCCTTCCTTCTGCTTCAAGTAACGGCTCCTTCAGGGAATCCTTCTACCTGTCCAGGGCCCTTCTCCAAGGGCCACCCAGAAAGCAGATGTGACAGGAAATAGGCATAGGGCCGAGTGAAGAGAATGGGGAGTCCATGGTGCAAGGCCTGTTGCTGCCATCAGCTTAGCTGTGGGACCTTGGGCGAGTAGCCTCCCCTCTCTGACCTGTTGCAGCCTCTTCTCCACAACAAGGGGCTTGGACTTCATGTGTAGGTGGGGAGGAGGGTCTTGGGAGAGAGAACTCCCTCCTAAAGCCTTGACACAGCTGCAGGGATGATGCCAGCGTCTTGCTGGGGGAAGGCCTTGAGGGGTCCTGGTGGGGACTCTGGAGCAGACAGCGCCTGCCAGTGCCTGTAGAATCTGCCAGCCAACAGTCTCTCCCTCACGGGCCTGTGCTCCTAATAGCTTCCTCCTGCTGCTGGGTTCTCACTGCCAGCTCCTGTCTCCTCCTCCTGTGTCCTTCGGAGACCGTTTTCTCTCCAGACAGCTTGCCTTGCTCCCTCTCTTCTCCTCTCCTGGTCCTTCTGATGCGGACTTGGCCCACCACCATCGTCTGATGTCTCCTTCCTGCTCCTCTACCAAACTGCCTCAACTCCCTATCAAGGATGTGGCTCTTCTTAGGAGACTCCTGAACCAAGCCACAGTGCTGCCTCCACTTGGCCTGACCTCAATGTTTTGGGGTGGAGGGGAGTCCAGGGGATCCCTGAGAGAGGAGGGCCCTATGGAAGGCTGTGCAGATGTGGCATACTGCTAGGAGAGGGACCCCTAATTAATGAGTAGCTTTGGCTTCCACTGCAGCCAAAATCTCCTTGACTACAAGGAGCCCCCTGAGCGCAGTGGATCAGGCTCCAGAGAAAGAGGAAGGAGAAGAAGGTTTTGGTCCCATGTGTATCTTCCATTTGTTGTGTGGCTTTGGACAAGTCACAGTCCCTCTCTGGTCTCCTGTCTTCTCATTTATACAAAGGTTCTTCTTGCTGAAGATTGAGAAGATGGGCTGGTACATTGGGAGAGAAAGCCTTGCAAGTGATGAGCCTGGCCCCTGGGAAGGAAGGGAAAGGGATGTGCTGTTGACGAGGGGCAGACAGAGCTATGTATGTGTCTGTGAGGACAGCCTGGTGAGGTATGAGCATGTGATCATTTGCAGTAGTCCCAGGGCCAGCAGCCCGGGTTGGGCCAGGGGGGACTGCGGAGGGACAGTGCAAGTGCAGACAGGGTTGGAGCAAGACTCAGCTGCTCAGGGGACCCTAGAGTTTTGAGGAAAAATCTGAGACTTCGACCTGGAGTCTCACAGACTTGACTGGGTATCTTTGGGCCTCAGTTTCTCCATTCAGGTAGTCTCAAATCCACCCTTAGCCCCAGTGATGATGAGCCCTCCCTTCCTCAAACTGGGCCCTGTGGGGAGTGGAGGGGGGGAAGGGAGAGAACACAGACCAAGAGACAGGATTCAGATGGAAGCTTCCCAGGACTGGGGGTGAGGACCACCCACTTCCTCTTTCCCAGCCCTATTTCTGGGCTCCCAGAGGGGCGAAGGGTGGTGGAGGCGGTGCCCATGCTGGGCTGAGCCTGCAGTTTTCGTGAGCTCTCCCGGCCTGTCTCCATGGGAACAGGGGTGCCTTGTCAGTGAGCTCATTCCACACGGAAGAGGGGATTGCGTGGGGAGCAGTGAGCGAGCTCAGCTTGTTCACACCAAGCCCCAGCATGAGCAGGATGAGGCCTTGCCCCACCACCTTTCATCCTGGTGTGGCCCCCTGCAGTGGAAGAGCCCCTCCCTCTGTCCTGCAGCGTCTATAGCCAGGCTGAGCTTTCCCTAAGTTGGTTTTCTCTCCTGTTCTCAATACACTCTGCCTCAAATCTGTCTTGCTTCTTTCTTCCTTGCTATGGCTGCCGTGGCTCTAGGGTGCTTTCCCACCTCCCTGATTGGAGCCTGGGAGGGGAGGGGGACTGCTCAGTTGTGTGTGAAAGGGAGGTTGTATCCTCGTGTGTGCTGCTTTGTGTGTATCACACCTGCAGTGTGTGTGAATCTGGGGACAGTCCAGGTGCTGTCTTAGAAGGGAGAATGACCCTACCTGTTCCCCAAGGCAGCCCTGGCCCTGGCACAAGTCACCTTCCTTTTTCTCCTCCCCCGAGAGTGTGAGCCAAATGGACACTGGGCACAGGGGAAACACACTGTCCCTATGGCCCGGGTTAAACTGGGTCCTTTAGAAGCGGCACTGAACATCACTCACTCTCCAGTTCTCTCAGGTCTCCTCCCTGCTATGACCTAAATTTGACAATTTCCCACATTCATCACCGTGACTACCTGGATCCTTAAGAGCATCAAGCCCAGAGAGGAGAGAGCTGCCACATCTGTACCTGGTTCCCATGTGACCTTGTGCAACCCCTTCCCACCATTGGCCTCAGTTTCCCTTCTGTGCAATGACAGGATTGTAGGAGGGCTTGGGATAGACCATGGGTGCTCCTTTCAGAATTTCCACCCATTGCCTTTCTAGGGAGTTCAGTGCATTGAGCCCTACAGAAGAAAGTGAACAATTATGCTGTTTGTACTGTGCACCCCTCTGCCTCCCTCCCTCACGTACAGTCCCCAGACATCGTTAGGATGAGGTCAGGCCTGGCCTGCCTCCAAAGGATGCTGGTGGTAAGCAGCACATTCCCCTCACATTCCAACCCATTCCCGAGCCAGTTCATTTCATAGACTTGGCTCAATTCCGTGACTCCTTCTATTTCTTGGATCCAGTAGTCCCCTGTGAACAAAAGGCAGAGAGAACTCTCTAGAGATTTTTTAGACTACCGTAGTTCCCCCAGTTCTCCTTAACTGATGGAAGTGCCCTCTTTTCTCAGTGGTTGTGGACTAGTTGGCTTGTGTGTTCTTGTCCCCACCTCCCAACTCTAGTTGGGCATTGGGACATGCCTAAGTCCTCCTGACATGGCATTGGCCCTGAGACTCTGGTCTTAGCCTTCTAGTTCTTCCTGTCTGGCCCTGGAGCCAAGACCTCCCTCTAAGCACTTCTTGCACAGTGATGTCTGCTTCCCATTGGTGGCCTAAACTCAAGTCTCCTGGGATGCGTCACAACCATACAGCAGTGTTCAGGGTCTCTGGCTCACATATACACAACCCTGACCCTGGGAATAAAAGAAGGAAGAGTCTCATACTGAGATTTAACCTCCCTATCCCATTACTGGGAGCTTGGATGTCCTCAGGAGGCCTCTAAATGTCACTGATCTTACCATTCCACAAAACTTCCCTCTCTGGGCTGTTGCGTAACATTCTCCTTTAAGTTAAAGGGCTCTGATTCTGGATCTGGGTTCCTTGGCAGGTACAGCATTCTGCTTGGAAAATACATACAATCTACTTCTGCTCCCTTTCGATTGGGAGGAACTAGAGTGATTGGTTGAAAGGATGACTGGGTTAATTGTGGCAGACTGCTGATTGGATGAAAGAATGGATCTTGGGGATGGTTCTAGATGTTGACCGAGTAGGAGACAGCAAGTGGACTAGCTGTACCGCAAGACTTGGATGGATGGATGGATGGGTGGATAGATGGATGGATGGATGGATGGATTGTTGGTGAGCTTGATTCCATTGGGAATCCACATGGACTGCTTATTGCTGGCATTTGACCAGATGCACAGTTGGATGACTTAGGAGAAACAGGAGGCATGAATTTCCAAGCCCTCTACTTCCAAACCAGTCTGCTTAAAGATGGTGTAGACTTTGAACAGTATATAGTTGCATGCGTGAGCACACACACACACACACACACACACACACACACACACACAGACTACACCAGGCTGTTATTATACCCATAAGCTTAATTTTCACATTAATGAAGAATCAAGGATAAGAATGAACCTTGTAAACTGAAAATTCCTTATATAACAGGTAAGAAACAGGTGTGACAGTGCACAGCACAGCAGTGCTTTCTAAACTCAAAGAGCTCAGCACCCACCCTCATGGAGCCATACTTAGCTAGGCATCTAATCCCAGCTACTCAGGAGACTGAAGTCTGAGAATTGATTATCTGAGGATGGAGGTTTGAAGCCAGCCTTGGCAGGAAAGTCCATGAGTCTCTTTTGTTTGTTTTGGAGGGGTTGTTTTTTTTTGGGGGGTCAGTCATGGCTTGAACTCTGGGCCTGGGCCATGTCCCTCAGCTCTTCAGCTCAAGGCCGGTGCTCTACCACTTGAGCCACAGTACCACTTCTGGTTTTCTGGTGGTTTATTGGAGATGAGAGTTTCATGGACTTTCCTGCCCAGCTGGCTTTGAATCGCGATCCTCAGATCTCAGCCTCCTGAGTAGGTAGGATTACAGGCATAAGCCACCAGTGCCTGGCTCCATGAGACTCTTTATCTCCAATGAACCACAAAAACTCAGAAATGGATCCGTGGCTCAAGTGGTAGCTCACCATGATTGAGCCTAAAAGATAAAGGACAGTGCCCAAGCCCTGAGTTCAAGCCCCAGTACTGGCCAAAAAAAAAAAAGTTAAAAAATAAAAAAACAGCCACATTCTTTTCTCCCTTCCATGCTGGCAAGAAGTACAAAGAGGAAATGCTGGCCAGGGGAGTGTGACCCAACTGCCCTTTTTGTTTTGTTTTATGAGTGCTCTTCCACCCCTCCAGCCTAGCCTTTTGCTGGGTAGTTGGAGATGGAACCTCAGAGGCTTTCCTTCTCAGGCTGGTGTCAAACCTCTGTCTTCCACATCTGAGTAGTTAGCATTACAAGCATGAGTCACTTGCCTTGGGCCCAACTTCCTTTTGTGTTTCCTTCAGCCGGTGTGAACTTCCTCTCTGCTCAGGCACCCAAGGCAGAAAATTGCGGAAATGAGCGAAAGGCTCTTCCTGTGGGGTTCAATCTGAACAGTAGTAATTTTTTTTAATTTTTGAGATTTTGTATAGATAATACAACTATCTAGTTCCAAAAATCAAAACAAACAGAAAGTGCATGCCTTTAAAAAGCGCTGCTCCCACGCAGGGAAGCTGCCCGCCTTGCCCCCTGTTCCCTCTTTTCTTGATAAGTAATGACTGGTTAGTTTCACATCTGCCTTCCAACCTCCCAGCCTGTTGTATTACAGCAACGCGCGTCCAAAGGACGTGCTAATACTCCCGATGTTCTTTTGCCTGGAAAGAACAGAGCCGCTCCGCTCGCGGCTCCCCGCAGGCCCCCGTCACAGAGGGGCCTCGGCCCCGTGACTTGTCTGCTCCCGGCCATCTCCTCCGTTCAGGCTCCAGATCGCATTCTAGACTGGCACCTGGTGCCCGGCTCTTGTTGGCTTTAGGCTGGAACGGGGCTGGCCTCGCGGGCCACGCCGCACTTCCAGTCTTTGCCGCTAACTGGAGATGAGCGCCCTGGGCTCTGTCTGCGGAGGCCGGCTTGGCCCCGGGTCCCGGGAGATGCTGGACCGACAGGCGTGCGCCCCCGGGCTGGGCCCCGAGCGTCCGCGGCGCGGGCGCCGTCCTCCCGTGCTAGTGGGCGGCGGCACGGGGGGGCCCCCGGCCCCGGGCCTCACTAACGCCACCCGCCCTCTGTTCTCTCCGCAGGACCGCCCAGAGAGCCGGCCCGCCTCCCCGCCCTGGACGCCGGGCGCGTCCCGGCCCCCTAGCAGCCTGGACGGCTGGGTGAGCCCGGGGCCGTGGGAGCCGGGCCGCGGGAGCAGCGTGAGCAGCCCGCCGCCGCCGCCGCCGCCGCCCATGTCCCCCTCGTGGAGCGAGCGCTCCGTGTCTCCGCCGCGCCCCGAGGCCGACACGCGCGCCCCCAGCCGTCAGCTCCAGGCGCTCCTGGCGCGGAACATCATCAACGCGGCCCGGCGCAAGAGCGCCTCTCCGCGGCCAGCGGGCGCTGAGAGCCTGCGGCCCTTCTCCCCGCCGCGCATGCGCTCGCCGCCGCCGCCGCCGCCGCCGCCGCCACCGCGCTTGCGCTCCCCGCTGCCCGCCGGCCCGCGCCCCGGGCCCGCCCGCGGCGGCGCCGCCTTCGCCGCCAGCCTCCCGGGGCCGCCGCTCTCCGGGCCCGCGCCGCCCAGGCCCTTCCCCTACCGCCGCTCGCCCACAGGCTCCGACGTGTCTCTCGACTCCGAGGACTCCGGGCTGAAGTCGCCCGGCATCCTCGGGTACAACATCTGTCCCCGCGGGTGGAACGGCAGCCTGCGGCTCAAGCGCGGGAGCCTCCCCACCGCGGCCTCCTGCACCACCTAAGCCCCGCGCCACCCCCTCCTCCCCCGGGGAAGCCGCGCGGGACCTGACTCCGAGGCCCCAGGGCTCCGGCCGCATCCGGAGCCCCAGAGATGCGCCCGGGCTCGAGGTCTGGTCCTGGCTCTGTCGCGCCGGTTGAGGCCCGGCAGGACCCGCGTCGGGCTAGGGCCAGGCCCTCCTCGTCCTCAGCTGGGCGTGTGGCTTTGGCCCAGGCCGCCTCCGCATTTCCCCGCGTCACTACGCACAAGTGCCTGGAGGAGGCTGCCGGGCACGCGGCCCCTTCTCCCCTCGGGCCCTGCCCTCTCCAGCCTGGCACGGGAAGGGTGTGTTTAGAAGAGCCTAGGCCAGACCTCATGCTCGCGCCATGGCTTGACTAAGGCTTTCTGGCACCAGCCCCAGGCAGGAACAGCTGTTTTCCATCCCTTCTCAGTAAGCTCTATTTTTACCAGATGACCTTTACAGAGATCTCCCAGGCCGGTTCAAGGTGCCCGGCTGGCCCCTCCACTCCCCGTGCCATGCCATGCTGCTTTCTCCACCCCAACTCGGTGCCCAGGGCATCTTCACAGCCAGGGAGGAACACTGGAGGGGGATGAGTTTCCCAGGCCTTAACCTTGGGCCTCTGGCTCTTCTGTCTCTCTGAGCCTGTCCTTGGTAGGTTCTGGAATAACAGCTGAGCTGCGGGGGGGAAAGGGGATGGGGAGAAGAAGTAGAGCTACCCAGTGGCCTTACCTGATTGTCCCCACTTTGAGCTGGCCTGTTCGGAAAGAGGGAAGCAAAAGAGTTCTTTGTTACAGAAAATGAAACCCAGGGCCAGGATGCATGGAGATTCTGGCAGGGTTTGGCTCTGATGGTCTTTAAGACCATCTGAGGGCTCTTCTGGTCCTGAAATGCATTCCATAGTATTAGGAAGTGGGTAGGGTGTGGGTGGAGGAGGAGGATGGGGCTTGAATTCTAGGCAGATAAGCTTGGGTGGGTGGGTGAGGGGTTAGGCCAGGTTGGCCTGTGTTTCTGTCCACCTAGGAAGTTCCCCCTGCTTTAGCTTCAGCTTTCAAACCCAGTGTCCACCTTGTGCCAATGGCCACCGTCCATTCTGTTTCTTTCCCAATGCACTTGGGCCTCCAAAATCCTGGTTGTAGGCCCTAGCCTGACCCTTACTCCTCAGTGGCTGTGATTCCAATCCTTAGGCCAGGTACCAGGAGGAATGTAGTTGAACGTCTTGGTTTCCAGAGTGCCCCTAGAGGTGGGGGCTGGGGTCAGAGTTGGGTGAGGATGGAAAATAACACAAGTGAAAGAATATTAGGATGTTGGTAAGGTGAAGGACAGTGTTAATTTTGGACTTAACTACCTGTCAGGATAACACTAGACCAAGCACTTCAGGGTAAGGCTAGGGAAAAACTAGCATCAGAATAGAACTGGTTGGGGGGGAAGGGGGAATTGGGGTATTTTTGAATAAAAAAGTGATCACGAGTGTACCTAAGGCCTAAGGATTCGGAACCCAGGCCCTGTTGGTAGGAGTATGAGAGGGCATGCAACTCAGTAAATAATGAATAACTACATGAATAACATGCCGTTACCTGCTATAGGGTTCATTGTAGCAGGGGTAACAAGCTAAGGGGACTCCCAGAGAAAGACACTGAAGAGGTGGTGTGGGCTATCAATTTCTACCTGCGTTTCCCCAAAGATCCAGCAGGAGGCAGACTTGGGAAGCTGCCTCTACGTCTCTAGCTGTTCTATCCATGGTGACTGCCTTCTTCCTCACCCTCTTTAACCTCTAGAGCTTGCTTGTGACCTGCCTCTTGTCTCCAGTAGAATTCAGCTCAATAAATACTTCCTGTATCTTCTTCCTGTGTCTTAAAAAAAAAATCTGAATTCATGCCCTTCATTTCTCCCCAAATATGAAACAGCCTCTGGGAATCTGGGTAGATAGAACTATCTGGAACACTTGGGCTGATGGCTTGGGAATGAACATCCATGAGGAGAGATAGAGAATGATGGGGGCAGGGGGGGAGGGGACCATGGTACTGCAAAGAAGTCCTAGGGTGGAAGCCCAGCTGTGTCACTCTAGCAAGGTGGCCCTGTGTGTCTCCATCTGCAATACGGGATGGCTGGCTAGGTAATGTCTCAAGTTAGCATTGTCAAGGCCCTGTCACAAGGCATATTACTGGGGTGGGCAGCTAGATCAGAACCCAGTCCCTGGGGCTTCTTCCTCATGCCAACTCAGGGTCCCAAGGCAGGAAAAGAAGGCACATGGGACAATCTGGGTGGGGCCAGGACTGAAACCATGGGTCCTCTTTTCCTGTGCTTGTGGCCCTGCTCCCAGATGAGGGCAAGCCTGACCTGGGGACATCCTTTGCCTGTCCTCTGTAGAATCTGAGACCTTGCAAAGACCAGACAGAGTAAGAGTAACCCAAGAGGCAGAAAGCTGAGCTCAAGGAATGCTGGAGCTGGCTGTTGTCCCTACTAGGAGTCAGGAAAGTGACCTAGAACCATGTGTGTGTGGACACAGATGCTCCCTACCCTGGCCCCAGAGCTTCCATGTTGTGTGCACACTGCCCCAGTAATGGGTCTGGTCACTTTCTAACTTCAGCTGGAACTGCTCCTGAACACAGTATCCAAATGCCTCTCTCCTCAGTGCCTGGAACTCAAACCAAGTCCATCCCAGGCATCTTGGCATCTGCCTCCACCACAACCTGCTTCTCCCATTGAGGAGTCATTGGCTCCTCAACTTTCCTCACTTTCCACTGCCAGTCCCTCCCCAGGACCTGGGACTTCTCCAAGTGTCTCTAGAAGCCTTGTCCTTCTCTCCATAGGGGTGGGCAACCACCCCATCTTGATTGCTATAGAAAAATCTTCCCGCCTCCATTCTAACTCTCCAGCCCTTGACAGCCAGTGCATTGGATGGAAAATGGACTCTACCAGCTTCATTTGTTCAGCAGCTGGTGTAACTGTTTGCTTTTCCAGTCTGGCCCCTCCCAGCTGGTCTGCCTCACCAGAGCACCTAACTCCTACCTTTGGCCTGCCCTGCCAGTGACTCACCATCTTTTATTATTTTTATTGTTTTTATTTTTGTCGGTCATGGGGCCTGAACTCTGGGCCTGGGCGCTATCCCTCAGCTCTTCAGCTCAAGATTAGCACTCTACCACTTGACCCACAGCACCACTTACAGCTTTTTCTGCTTATGTGGTGCTGAGGAATTGAATCCAGGGCCTCATGCATGCAAGGCAAGCGCTCTACTACTGAGCCACCTTCCCAGCCCCTATTATTTTTATTTTTTTGGCAGTACTGGGGGTTCAATTCAGGGAGGTGTGCTGACTAAGCAAGCACATTACTTCTTGAGCCATGCCCCAGTCCACATCCCCCCACACTTTTTTTGTTTTTCATAAGGGTCTTGCATTTCTGTTCAGCTGTCCTTGGACAGCTACCTATACCTCCTGAGTGGCTGGGATTACAGACATATGCCACACACCTGACTCTACACCTCTGCTCTGCTCCCTCCTGCCCTCCACCATCTTTACAGGTGATATGTCCTCTGCCTGCAATGCTCTTGATACCTCTGTGTGGGAAAAACTCCGTCATTCTTCAGGATCTAGTTCAAATCTCTCCTCCTTTGGGAAGCCTTCCCGGCATGCAAGCTTTCCCAGAGCATTTCTTGAGGTGTATTATGAAGGCTTGTTTGGAAAAAAAGAAAGGGAGAGAGGGAGGGAAGTAAATACAGGGGGAAGTAAGAAGAAAGAGAAGGAGATAAGCAGGGAGAGAAGGAGGAAGGGGAGAAAGGAGAAAAGAAGGGAAGAATGGTAGAATAAGCCAAGTAAAGATATTGGGGGACAATTCATCTATATCCATTCATGGGTTCATTTATTCCACAAGCGTCTATTGAGTTCTTATCAGGAATAGTCTGGGCACTCGGGACAGAAGAGTTACAGGCCACAGTGGGCCACAGCTGACTCGTACTTTGGGTGGCTGTGGTATGTGGTTCTATGAATGCATGTGGACCCACAAATGAAGCCCTTCTGTTTGCAAGGGACTGCTGCCCGGGCACCTGTCTTCCCTAGAGCCTGATGCTTTTAGCATCTGGCCTCGGCTCTTATTGCAGCCTGAAATAAGGCTGTGACCCACGACAATTCAAGACTGATGCTGTCAGCTGAAGCCAGAGCTGGCTGTGGAACCTGCTCTGCTCATTGGCCACTGACCGCCGACAGGGACAGACAGACACTGGCCACGAAACTTTCAGCTTCCAGACAGAAGTGTTAAACTAGAGGGTCTGACACTTCTCCCTGGCCACTGTGGGCCCATCCTCTCAGGTACCAGGCTCCTAGGGTTGCTTGGGGGCTGTGGGGAGTGGGCTAGAGGAGACTGGGTGATTGCAGAACAATCTCCCAGCAGAGGCAGGGGAGCTGGGCCTCAGGAAGGCCTGGATCCTGGATTGGGAGGGGAGTACCCTAAACTCTAGGTTATTCCACATTACCTTGGGGGAGGGGTGGCTAGGCTTGAAGGTGGGGACTGGGAGCTGGCTGTGCTCAGCACTTCAGGGTCTCTAGGCAGTGCAGGGAAGTACCTTCCTATCTGTAAAAGTCAGGGACCTGAGGCTGGGAATGTGGTTTAGTGATAGCCTGCTTGCATAGCATGCACAAAGCCCTAGTTAGATTCCTCAGCACCACATAAACACAAAAAGCTGGAAGTGGCACTGTGGCTCAAGTGGTAGAGTACTAGCCTTGAGTAAAAAGAATATCAGGGACAGTGCTCAGGCCCTGAGTTCAAGCCTCAGGACTGGCAGAAAAAAAAAGCCCCGCATTGGTACAGAGTCCCAGCCATACATTCTCATCCCATCATCCTTGCCACAAATGCATGCAGACATGTATCTGTTCATCTAGCTTTAGAATTCATGGATCCCCATCTGAGGGAAACTGAGGCATGGAGATAGACAGCTACTTATTCACACTTGCAGAGAAAGTCAAAGGCACCTGTTGGTCTCAGGTCTCTCCCTCTGACCCAGGGCCCAGTTTGGTTGTTGGGCACACAGGTGGACAGACTCTTTCCTGGAGGAGGGAATATGGAAAAAGCTGGAAGCAAAGGAGAGGTGCGCCACCAGGACCCCATGGGCAGTCAGGCAGCTCAAAGGCTCTGTATCTTCTCCTGATGCAGGTTAAGGAAAGTTGGCTTTCAGGGATTCTCTAGGACCAGTTTTATGTGTCAGTCATCACCCAAAAAGGATGAATAGTGTCATGAAATGGAAAAGGGAATGGAGAAAAAGGAAGAAAACAGAAGGGGTGAGGGAGAAGAGATCACCAGGGAAGTTAGCCCAGCCTAGGGATACAGAAAGACAGGCAATGGGTCTCTCAGCCTTACTGGACCAGTGTCAAGGCCAAGTACTGGGAACAGGAGGAAAGTGCACAGACCATATAGCCCCGCCTGACCCACTCTCCCACTCTCTGACAACTTCCTTCCATCTCCAGTTAGAGCTGTGCTGAGTCAGCAGATGACAGTCATGCGGGAGACTCTACCTTTCTTATCTTGATGCCCTAGAGACCAGCTCCCAGGTGGAAAGAAAGTACTTCCCTAGCAACCTGGAGCTCACTCTGTGTAGCTTTCCTTGGGCCTCAGTCTCCTCTTCTGTACAAAGAGATCTCAGGCTCTTGAACCCAAATGGCTTTTACTCGTGACTCTGGGCTGGGGGGTGGGGGTGGGGGGCAGTGGAGACTTGAAGGAAGTCTGGGAAGGGATTGGTATAGGGAGGAAGGGAGGCTTGCCTGGGCCATTTGTGGGAGTCTCTCTTCCACAGGATGATCTCCAAGGAGCAAAAGGAACCAGTGGTAGCTGCCATGGGGAATCTCGCTGGACCAGGTATGGTGGGCCCAGCACTACTCTTTTGTCAGTCTCTTCACTTGGTCCCAGGTTGAAGCCATTTAGGCCTACTTCCCTTGGGATTAACAAATGAATGACGTCCAGAGCAGCCCTGGGGTGAGGGTAGGGGATGTCTAAGGAGTCTGCT